GAGATGACCCAATCCGAACGCACCCAATCTGACCTATTTGCCAGGTGTAGCCCTTACAATAAAGTAACAGTCTTTTATTTGAGAAGGTTGTGCCTTTCATCCCAAGTATTTTTTAGGGTTAAAGCCAACTATAATCCCTCTATTTTCAATTTTCAATTTTCATTCATTGTTCTCCTTGTATTTATAGATACTTCAAAATCCTCTCTCTGTTCTTTCAAACCACACTATTGTCCTCCACTTACATTAAATTTTGATAACATTTACCTCCCTATTCTAACATTGTTACTAACTTCCATTTAATGATATCTTTTTTTTATTGTTAAAGTTCAACCGTTGCAATAATTTCTTTTTGTTGAATTGCTTTGAGTGGACATCAAGATTGCTAGGCTCACTCGAAGCGATTCAGCAAAATAAATAAATAAATAAAGTATTGCAATGGTTAAACTTTAATAATAAAAAAAAGACACCATTAAATGGAAGTTAGTAACAATGTTAAAGTAGGAAGGTAAATGCTATAGAATCTTAAAATAGAGGGAGTTTTGAAGAGTAAAGGGAGGATTTTGAATGATTTGTAAGTATAGAGAGAACAAATGAATGAAAATTAAAGTGAAGGGATTATAGATGGGTTTAACCCTTTTATTTACATTCCATATTGTTTGAGAAATTGTCATACTCAACTAAGGCAACTGACTTAGGCTCTGGAATCTGGATATGATCATCGTATCCAGAATCTCCAAAGAAGATTCTATTTTCAAAGCCTTGCCTTTTTTTACCTTCGCTTATTTGTTGTTGGGGTTTAGCTATAAAGTCAAAAAATCTACCAGTGGCTTGATATTCTTGTTTATTAAGAAGGGTGGTGGCGGTGTGAACTGCGAAGTGAGGAGCTTGCAGAATGAAGGTGGCAGTGACATGGATATGGGGTTTGTTGTGGTATGTGATTGGGGTTGCTTTGAGTCGATCTGTGGATGGTTTTGACGATTTGAGTGCAACAGAGAGTTTGCTTTCTGGCTTGGGTACAGATGCTACCTCCTCCAGTCCTGCAAAACAGCGCATGGTGCCCCTCACTCTCATTCCCGGAGCTGCTGCTAAAGGAGCAGGTACCCCCATTTTTACCTGTTTCTATCTAGAATGTGCGTTAGTAATCTAATCAGAGCTGGAAAAAGGAAGGATTTGCCAGACATCTGTTTTGACTCTAATTTATGTCTTGTTTTTTCCAGTGTGTTTGGATGGGACACCTCCTGGTTATCATCTCGATCGAGGGTCTGGATCAGGTGTTAACAGCTGGATTATTCACTTGGAGGTTGGATAATACAGACGCTGAATTATTTGCATTTGTTGGATTCCATTAATTAGAAAATGATGGCTTAGAGTATTGGCATACGCAGGATTTATAAGGAAGCGGCACAAGCCATAAATATACATAACAATATAGAAATACAAAATATAATAATATCAGAATATGATTAGAATAAGGATTATAAAATAAAAAAGAAGGATGGAATTACCTTTACTTCTTTTAATGAAATTAACTGAATCCAATTTCTACAACTTGATATAGAAAATCATCCAAATTCTAGAATTTTTCTTTTTTTTAAAAAAAAATGAGACAATAATAATAGTAATAATAAATTTTGAAACAAAGTAAAAGTACAGGAATTCTTTACTTCTTCCCCATTCCCACCACGCCCCACCTGCCAGAAACAAACCTTTACTTCTTCCTTGTTTTCACCACACATCAGCAGCCAAAAGCAATTAGCTGACACGTTATTTATGGTTTTGTTAGCTTGCTCTTCTTTAGTTTGTGCAATTGCGTTTTTTATGCATTCCTAAAATCAATAATATGGTAACATTTAAACTTAATGATTTAAAAGTGTAAAATCTAAAATCCTCTTAGTAACAGTACAACAAACCATTAAAATCAATTAATAATTATACAAATTAAGTTAACAACCAAAAATAATTTTGTAATTAAAACAATAATTCTTTATCACAAAATAACAATTACAAATTACAATATAATAGGTTAAAATTATAAATAGTAGAATAGAATAATAAATTTTTTGATTTTTCAAAGATATTAGAGGATTACCAAAAAGTTGCAATTTATAAACGAATTTTAAGAATTCAATTGAAAAGAGATTCTTGCCCGAAAAATAAAAAAGAAAAAGATAATTGAAGAGAGATTGTATCATTGCCTGTTAGGTTTAGAATTTAAAAAACTTAATGCTAATTGAAGAATAATTCGGATGGAAGAAGGGAAGCAAGTACTACCACCATTCAATTTTAGTAGTTCTAATTTATCATTTCAATTTTTTAAACATGAATTTTGCATAAAAATTTAATATATTTTATAAATGATAATTGAATTTTTTTATCAAATAAAATTACTCAACAAAAATTACATATAGAAAAAAAGAAAATTTTCTATTGTAATTCATATAGGTTAAATTTTTATCTGATATTCATGTTTTAAAAAAAATAAAAAAGTTAAACTAAAACTATTAAATTGAATAAAGAAAGTAATCAAGTGAAATTAATTACCTAAAAAGTAATTAAAGTCTAACATAACTTAATAAAAACATTTTATTTACATTCTTAAGTGAGGACAAATATATATATTGTAATTTTCTAACTTTAAACTCTACCACGGATTTAGAGTTTCTCTTTTATTGCGAAAGATACTGGGTGGTATATACTTCAATTTAACATACTATATAACATACTCATTGAACAATCATCATTTTTAATTTGAAATTAAAGATAAACTTAACGATACAACTATATATACATGATGCAAGACTGGGGTGAATTAGTTATAATTATATTATATTGTAATAGATGAATTAAAATGAGTGTAAATAAATATATTCAATTAAGTGTATACCAATTATTTTTCTATTTACAAAAATGTTACTTCACAGCTGATTTTGTCACTTCCACAATATTGTTTGTTCTTAGGGAGGGGGATGGTGTAACAATGTCCAGACTTGTGTTTCCCGCAAAACTACTCGCCATGGTTCATCAAATTTTATGGAAAAGCAATTAGCCTTCACTGGAATATTGAGCAATAAAGCTAAAGAGAATCCAGGTTAGTCCAAACCTGCACCCTTTTGCTTCCTATGGTTCACACTTCCGGACGTTTCTAATGGAAGATCGTCTATTTGCAGATTTCTTCAACTGGAATAGAGTGAAGCTTCGTTACTGTGATGGGGCATCTTTTGCAGGGGAAGGACAAGATGAGGTTAGGAGGAATACATTCCCTTCCTATTTTTTTCTTGGACTTCGTTTCTTGTTAGGCAGAAGTTTTAATTCTAGTTTTTCTTCTCTTTCAGGCTAACCAACTTAATTTTCGTGGACAACGCATTTGGTCAGTTATCATGGAGGAATTGATGGCCGAGGGAATGAAAAATGCTGAGCAGGTTTTACTTAGAATGTTCTTTTTCAGTCTTATGCTGTTGTATCCATGTATGTTAAATTGATTGCATTTCAGGCTCTTCTTTCTGGATGCTCAGCTGGGGGTCTAGCATCCATTTTACATTGCGATGAATTCGGTGATTTGTTCCCTAAAACTACCAAAGTGAAATGTCTAAGTGATGCGGGATTGTTTCTTGATGCGTAATACCCGATACTCTATTATCTCCTTTGTGACTTTTATTTATGTTTATTCTTCAATTGAGAAACGCGGTCTATACGTTTTTAATTATGCAGAATTGATGTGGGTGGTGGCCGCACCCTAAGGAATATGTACAAAGGTGTGGTCAGCTTACAGGTATAATGCTAGTTTTAAGTTTCTGTGCTCGGGAGCCAGAACTCAATTCTAAAGTGGAAAGTTGGGTGTCATTTTGTAGTCTTAGAAAGGCCAACTAAGCTTTTGTTTCAGTTGCTCAAGTGCTTTTGATTTGAGATTCTTGAGTAGTGGCATCAATCTTTACTATGCTGTGGGTTTGTGCTGCTGTGATGGAATCACCACCTGAATGTATTGGATACTCTCTTTTTGGTTGGTTTTTGTTTTGACCAAAATGCTTTCGAATTGCAGGGAGTGGAAAAGAATCTGCCAAATACTTGTGTACCAGCCAAATGGATCCTACCTCGGTAACTTCCTTTCATGACTGTCATTCATCTTGTAAGTACACAAAAATAAGAGGTATCATATAAAATATTGAAATATTTTGCTCTATCTATCTCTTGCAGTGCTTTTTCCCTCAAAATTTGGTTGCGAAAATCAAGACTCCTGTGTTTCTTCTAAATTCAGCCTATGATCTATGGCAGGTAATCTGACCTCTGCTAATATATGCTAATTGGTACTTCTTTTTTGGCCAAAGCAAATCCTTATGCAACCAACAATTTACAGTATAAAAGGCTCATGGTGCCATACTTTATAGTTCCTCCATGGCTGTCTCAGTAGAGGGAACCTAAAAGATTATGTGGATCAGTCATTGATGTGTCCCCTTACTTATATTTGCTTTATTTGGAAAAACTGTTTTGATGTAATTAAAAACAATCAGAAGCCTATAATTAGAAACTGTTCTGCATGATTTGATTACAAGACTTTGATTCTATTACTCAACTTTCAACCAATCCCTCTGCTCCTTTCTCACCTGACCCAAACCTCAAAAGGATTTGGGCATTCAGCAGTCATGTGGATCTTCTATGATCATAAACCTACTTTGCAAATAGTGTTTAATCTGATGGGTGACGTTAAGATGCTAAATAAATTGGATTAAATGATCTTATATTTGCATTTTTCAGATCCATGAGAGTTTAGCTACACCAAATGCTGATCCTCATGGTTACTGGAAGGAATGCAGACAACATCACGCTCAATGTAATGCATCACAGATTCAGTTTCTCCAAGGTGAATTTTCTATTTGTTTCCTTTTTATGCTTCAATTTTTGCATTGGAAAAATACATATAAGTTGCACCTAATGGTTCTCTTATTCCTTCTAAATTCCAAAGCAGACTTCCGGGTTCAAATGCTCAATGCCATAAATGTTTTTTCGAAGTCCCAAAAAAATGGTTTGTTCATAAATTCTTGTTTTGCACACTGCCAGTCAGAAGGACAGGATTCATGGTTTGCTGATAATTCTCCTGTTATTTCAGACAAGGTATGCATCAACTACAGTAATTGTCCACAACAGCATCAGATATAGACCATGACTATGTCCACTTACATTTAATTTTTCTGAAGTATTCTTGATTCATGGCAGAATTACCTCAGAGTAATTCCCGTAGACTTTCACACAACTATTTACATGTTATAGAAAGTTAGGCATACTAATATCATCAATCCTAGTAGTAAATTTAGGGTAATGGAAAAGATGGAAACCATCTAGGATGCCGTTTGAGCATCTATCATGCGTTAGGGACTGACAGTGTATGCTAAAACAGAACAGGTGGGTCAATAATATTCTAGATCCTTCAGTGTAAACCTTTAAGATAATTGGTACAACTCTTTCATTGTTATTCTAAAGTAGATAGGTTTTAAAGATTTCTGTAAATGCTTGTATTATAATTATTATTCAAAATTATTTAAAGTAGGAATGGCTGCTGTAAATATTGCCTTCTACATTAGTTGGATTTCGTGTTGTATTTTTATGCAGGCAATTGCAGTTTCTGTGGGGGACTGGTATTTCAACCGAACGACTGTTAAATCTGTTGACTGTGCTTACCCCTGTGACAAAAGCTGTCTCGACGCAAGTCAGTGAAAACTCTTGTTCGCTCCCTGTCTGTGTTTGGGATTCCCTTAATTTATTTTCCCCAATTGTCATTTGAGAAAATGGAACTTCCATTTATTGAGGACCAAAAATAAATTCATATATTGTTATACAAGCCTGTAACTTTCTTGAGATGCAAATCAAAATGATTTGCATCATTAACTTGATGTCTTTGCAGTTGCCAACTAGAAGCAATATTCTTGTGAGGAGACTCAAACTTGGTACATGATATATTTGAAACATTCTCGGTTGACATTTGTCTTTTGAGAATTCTTCCTTCTGTATTTGTTTAATCTATAATGAATGTTTGTCTATGAATGCATTTGAAGAGGATACAGAAGTTAGTAGTCTATCTCATTTCTTAGAGATGAGCCATTTCTGAGATGAATAGATTCATATGCAGTGATGTCACACCATCCATAGGGATCTCACAGTCCACAAGTTAAACGTCCACCGTACTAACTCTGCTTACTTCTGTGCCTCTGTTTTTAACATCTTCAAATGCACACCATTGTTCCAATGTGATCAAATAACACGTTACCATGATTTTCGAGTCCATACCCGCGAAGACTTGTTGGATCTTTTGCTTGCTTATGAGTTCACTGAAGGCATTTCTTCTAGCAGTTTCTGTAATTCTTTTCCTATTTCCCTGTGTCTGCCTTCAATGATACTTGATAGACATAGATTGAAATTCTAAAACTGTAAACTGAAAATTGCAGGCAGAGGGGAGGTTGTTTTTTTGAGGCTGCCATGCCATCTAATGCACATTATTCATTAATTATTCTTGATATCTGTTTGGCTAATCATGAAATTCATGGTCAAATAATGCAATTCTGAATGAAGACCCACATGTTTGGGGATGTTTTGGGAATGGTTTCTTGTTTAGAAAGTAGCTGTAGTGCAATCCATTAACATTTAACGAGATATTTCTTCGATTATTCTTTAGTTGTTTCAATCAACAAATAAACTATCTTTGGTTTGCTCCTCTCCCCACGCCGACTTGAACCTTGTGGAAGCAGTAAGAAGTAAACAAATTAAAATGGAATCACAAGACAACCCCATTGCACATCCAACAAAATGCATTATAATATTTACTTATTTAGAAGTCAAAAGCAACATGAATCTCTTGGTGAAAATCTTCATCGGAAAATGCACATGCCATGAATAGGGGGGTTTGTGAAAAGGGTATAGTTAAGATTGTAAAATAGTGAATTTGTTGAGTTTATCTATTCTTGAGTTCAACAACAAAGTGTGAAAATTGCATATATATATATATATATATGTTTCAATATAAGGTTTGCATTTAATTTAAAATTTATTGGCAATAAGTAAGTTAACTTTTTTTTTATATATTTAATTGACATATTTGTTTGTTATATACTTGATGTGAAATTTTCTTAATTAATACAAATAACCCATATTTACCTATTTATAAGGCTTTAAATATCATTTATTTAGTTTATTTGCATTGGCATTTCTATAGTTTTCTACTGCTGTGTTTGTGTTCTTTTTAAAGGAAATAAAGATTGTATTAAAATAAATAAAATTAAAATTACATATAAATTTCTATATCAGAGCATGTATACCAAAGTAGAACTATATCCTATAATACTAAATACAAACTTAAACTATACACATGACGGATTTAAAAAATTAAGTATGGAGAGTTATCTACATCTAGAAATTATATTAGCAATTGCTATAAAGGCATAAATAGAGCTATTAATGTAGAAAAAATGTCCTTGTGAGTATCATAAGCTAATAGACATTCTCAAATCTTATGCCAGCTTCTTGGGGAGGTACTTAGGCTATTAACAATCCTCACTCATTGATAGCTCTACCATGTCAAGTTGCAATGACCATTTGCCTTAGGATCCAGTCACATGAGAAGTATCAAAAAAAGATGAAAAGGGAGACTTTGCAAGAGAAAAGGAGACCCAAATAGAGGTGCTTGTTACACAGTTAGGGTTTTTTCTTACTAAGTACAGGAGAAAGCAAGAGGAGGTGGAGGAGTGGCGATTTCAGGGGGAACAGTAACAAAAGCCACTGTTCCCCTAGCTTTCTCATGCTATAGTTAAGGTTTTTTTTTTTTTTATTATGTGTGTGTTTGCATTTGGTTTAGCAATTAGTTAACATTTAATGTATTTATTTTAATTAGATATTTTTTTTTTTGGAACATCATGAGTTATCTGCTTGGTGTTAAAGGGACTTAAGCCTTTGCTCTTAGCTTTAAATCAAGACTTTTTAATTAGTAAGGCAATTCAACTTGCTCTTGTAGGTTTAAATTATACTAGTAGATAGCAATAACCATCACCTATTGGATATCAATTACTATTAATAATGAAAAGCGATAAAGGGAAGCAGGTACCTCTTGATTTGCTTCTTGCATTTGATCTGCTCATGGCCTTGTCAATGATGATGCATTATTCTCATTTACAAGTTAAGGCGTGGCTAAGCCAGTGTTCCAGACACGCCATGTTCATATCCAATCCTATGAACATCATCAATGTCATTTGACACATCAGTTCACTACATTTGTGATAGGGCTATCAAGACCACAAGCAGCTACATCACTTGCTCATCACACAATTTTGAGCAATGTCCCACATCAAAAGTTGGGAGTTACTCGCCCTTAGTTGTTCTTTATAGGTAACTCTCGACACCCAACCTCTTATTGGTGTATTTATAATGGATTGAACTTCCTTAAAAATCAATTGTGTAATTCTTTTTTCTTTCTTTTCTAGAAGTTTTAAAAGATAACAAATTGAGTCAAGTGATTACTGTGGGACTGTTTCCGCATATTTTCACTTCCAATTGACTTAATTGCATGTTTTAACTTGTCATATTTTCACTTCCAATTGACTTGATCGCATGTTTTAACTTGTCAAACTTTACTAGAGTGAAATAAGGAGGCATTAGCCATGCCAATTCAAACTCTGGCCTCTTCACAACCATTGTGGGACCGGGAGCAGGTACATACGCAAATCCTGTCTTACAGCCAATAACTTCTGTGCTGAGTTGATTAACAAATAACTTTGTTACGAGAGTCAGGCCAAGATTAGCAAGGATTTCGAATGGCGTCTTTGGAGAAGACAGCTAAGGATACCTAGTGAACTGTTAAGCGAAGACCTGCTAGTGCCTTGGGATCAACAATAGAGAATTCCTAGTATATTGTCCTAAATCTTTGAGGATACAGGGTATATAGTAGTATGCTTAAACAGAATGAAAAGAACGTTTGCACTAAAGGAATGATATTATAATGTCATTCACAAACAAAATTTTTAGGATCAAACTGTTAAAAAATACAATCCCAATCCAAAAATTAGCTAAACAAACTAACAAAGGGTACAGAAAAAGCCGTTGCAGAACTTCAAATATCACACTGGCTATAGAGTGTGTTTCTTTAAGCCTGCCTCCTGGCTTCACCCTCCATTTTTCATCTTCCATCTTCTTGTTATATTTACATGCAGAGTACTGTACATGAACAATTCAAAAGGGAGAAGGGTCTCAAAATGCCAACCCAAGGAAAAATTAAAAAAAAAAAAAAAACCCAATTGTCAGAACTTATATAAGAAGCAAGATGAAGAAAAGCAAAAAACAGGGGAAGGTCATATGAGAGCACAGTATTCAGCTGCAATGGCGAGATGCAGATGCCAGTGCCACCGCCTGTGCCCACACCTTCAGTCGAGCCTTGACATCTCTAGGATCATCACCTAAATCACAAGTTAAGAACCCCTTTGGTTCAATCAAATTTCTAACCTTAGTTAAGTCCAAAGAACAGGGGATGTTTAACAAACCCTTGAATCATTTATGCAAAAACATGCGATCTTAATCTTAAGATTCTTAACCTTAATAACATCACACGAACATGTCAAAATCAATCCCAGAAATTATAAAGAATTCCAGGGAAAGAGGAAGATTTTTGGCTCACCAGGGCTGGAGATGCGCCAATTGGCGATGGGAGAATTGCTACCACTGCTGGTGTCAAGATTGGAACCAGAAAGGGAAACCCTGCTTGGTATCTCCAACATCCGCTCGTGCTCCAACTCGAACCCTAGATCCCTGCAAGCCTTCACTTCCTCCAAATCCATACACAACGACCGCCTCCCACCTTTCGGCCTCGTTATCACCACCACGCTGCTGCCGCCTCCCTCACTCTCCCCACTAAAACTGCCACAGTAATTCCCATACCCCACCGCAAAATCCCCTTCTCTCCTTTCACCACCTCCGCCAGCACCAGTTTGGGTTCTGTTCTTATCTACCGATCTTTCTCTTCCCATCCTCCTCCTCCTCCTCTTCACTCTTTGCCTCAGAACTTCATTTTCACTGGCATACTCCTTGTCCACACCCATCAGCTGCCGCGCTAGCATCCGACTCCTATTCCTCCTACGGGGCGGCGTGGCAGGAAGCGAGTAACAACCAAACGGCTCCTTATCAGAATCCGACGACAGTTCCAGTTCCAGCAATTCTTTCCCATCTTCCTCATCGGAGAATTCCACATCAGCATCAAAGCTCTCCATCGACAATCTCGACATGAACATCCTCATATTATCATCTCGATCACCATTATCATAGTCCTCGTTCGTGCAAATCGATAGCCTGGACAAACTAACACCGGGCGGCCTGTGATCGTGATCCAACCCATCATCAGTCTCATCGTACTCATCTTCCTGCACAGAAGAAACAATCGTCATGGTATCATCTGACGCCATCAATCGGAACTTCGACTGTATTTTCCGGCAATCAAGCGTTACTGTACGGAACGGAGTGAAGGTAAAGTGTCAAAAGGAGGGAATACGGAAGAGCAGGACGCACTACGTAATGATCAAAACTGTGACGTTTTGGCTGTTCTTTTGTGAATCATTCATTCGCTTTGGGCGATAAGGTAAAGTCTCTAGTTTGCAACCAACGGCCATATTTATAACAAAGTTTTTTTGTTTTTTTCCAGATTTGCCCATTGCAGGTGTCACTCACTTCATTCCTTACCTGCCCTTACCTTTACTGTTTTTGGTCAATTCGTCTCTTTTATTAATTTAATAATTGGAGTAAATAAAAAATAAAAAGTTTTTTTTAGTACTCCTTTTTTTTTTTTAATGTTTATTAATATTCCCTTTTCCTTATTGCTTTTATCAGTAGTATTACATAGCGTTTTAATGTCGGTTTTTTGGTACGAGAGATTTTTTTTTTGAATTTTTTGTCATGGGTGGGTTTGAAGTCCGTTTAGTTTAGGGGAGGGCGATATACACTTTTTTTCAATGTCACTAACTATTGGACCATAAGGGTAAAGTGCTTGGTAGGAGAGATTTAATGTGCATTTAGATTAATTTATGTATATTTTAAAATTAATTTATTTTTTTAATAATTTTAAAAATACATTATTCATTAATTATAATCTAAAACTTAATTTTTAAATTAAATTTATAAAATAATATTTATTTACTAATTAACCTAACTCATGAAAGTTCGAAGATATTTCATTTGTTCCTTCCAGTTCATAATTCCATGGTATTTTATAGTATTTTTATTCTTTCTATTATTTGACAATGAGTCATAAGAGTGGCGGTGGAGCGAAGAAAAATGGAAAAAGGTGTTCCACCCAGAAAAGGATTTGGAAAGTTTTTAAAATTATGTATCCATTCCTAACAACTCTTATATTTTTTTCGGTTTGAATGGTGAATGATGAAGCTGTT